ACTGCAACACTCCATCGATTTGGGCTTTATGGCGGTGTGGCAAGACTCAATCAGTGTAGACACATGAAAACACACTTAGAATTTGCAAAAAAAGCAACTAAAGGACCCTCAGACTGTGAGAAATAATATTCTCTGGTCTGATGAACCTCAAATCTAAGCATTATGTTTGAAGGAAACCAGCTCTCCTCATCACCGGCAGAGTACCATCCCAAAAGTAAAGTGTGCTGGTAGCAGCCTGCTGTGGGGCTGTTTTTCAGCGGCAGGGACTGAGGAACTCATCAGAATAGAAGAAAAGCTAAATGCACCAAAATATTGAGATTAATGAAAACCCAGTCGAGAGCATTCAGAACCTCAGACTGGGCAGAAGGTTTACCTTCCAACAGGACAATGACCCTAAGCCTCCTCTTGTATAGGTCATTGCTTCAGTCCTTGGTTCCTGGCCCCCCACTACCCTAGGCCTATAACTATGTCCCACCATTAATCCCTGCAGACAGGTTTAAGGAACCATGATAAAATCTACAGTTAAGAATGACTAGTTATGTTTGGTCATTTTTCGGTGGATGCTGAAAAATGTCAAATATTAAAACAGCAATCCATATCTGGCCAGTTTGATCAGCAGTAAATTACTAGGCTAAGCAATCATACATAAATGTTTAATAAAAAAATATTTACATTAAAATACATAAAGTGGTCTTACTTAAAAGATATACAGACCTTATAACCCTTCTCTGAACTTTGCAATTTTTTTCATGTTTAATTAATCAATTTTGTTATTTTATAACATGAGCATTTAGATTAGGGATTAATCTTAATTTAATACTCACTTCATTGGAAGATAATTTAGACAATATGGAAACTTAGATTTAGACACATCTAGGTACTTACTATAGATTTAGATTTGATTAGTAAATTAATGTTTATTACTATTACTAAAATGTAATTGTTCAAATCATTCACCTTAAGTATTAGTAACAGTGGTGTTTACCTTAGTAATAAACTAATAACTCAGTCAACCGCTGATTCACCTGCTACGCCCCACTTATAATCCCATCATGACATTGAAACATCAGCATATGACAACAGAATGTGATGTGGATTATAAACAATGTATAGCAGGTGAATGACCTGCTAACACCTCAAATCAATCACAAACACATGACTGTGTATGACTGGTCTCCACTGATACTTCTGCTGTTTTGGCCTAACATGACTAGAAATACCATCAGTCAGCTGGGAAAAAGTCAGTATGTCAAGGTGACCTGATAGCCCTGGACACTGGTATTCCCACTATAGCAGGTGTTCGTGTCACTTTATTCTCAGTCATATTTACAGTAATGTCTACCCCCATATCTGACAGGCTAAACACACCCCTTTCTCTTCCAACCAGGGCTTGTGAAGCAAGTGACGTGCATGTTTATAGCTGTCATTCTCTTGGCCTGGAGTACACTCAGCTCTGTTTTGACTGATTGGAGGATAAGCTAAAGGAAAACACACCAATTTTCTAGAATGAAACCCAAGAGCTGTTACTTTTAATTCCACGTTAACACTTGTCTCAGAAAAGTCTAACACACAATGTAATTTTGTCAAGATCATTTTGTTAAAAGTTCAGTATCAGTTAAAGGGACAGTTCACTCAGAAAAAAAAACAAACTGTCATGATTTATTCACCCTTACGTCATTCCAAACCGGTGAGAAAAGAAGATATTTTGAAGAATGAATTTTTGTCCAAACAATGAAAGTCAGTTGGGACCAGTGTGGTTTTGGACCCCATTGGCTTTCACTGTATGGCATGTGGGTGAGTAAATGATGACAGAATTATCATTTTTGAGCGATCCATGACTTTAAAATGATTGATGTGTGTAAAAATGCAGACAGGTTGCATATATATTATTTGTCACTCCTTTCACTGGATCCTTCTGTTTCCACAGTCCATTCATACATCCACTAGATTTGGCACCTTGTTCAAGACAGCTAAGGAGGGAGTAACACCGTCACGCCATCTTTGTACAGATCCTGATCCTCCAGCAGTCTCAATGTACCATACTCACCATCTTCTTTTCACCCTGAGAGCAGTACTTACGCTAATACAGTTTAGCGCTTAAAATAACTGCTTATAAACGTCCATGTGACACTCACAGTCACTAAAGCATCCAGCACATTGTCATCGGGCCAGACACCCGTGAACATCAGAAATAAGAAGAGGGAAAGGTGAAGTCTTATACAGTCTTGTGTGTCTCATTGCCTACTTTCGGAAGAACTTCAAGTAGACCACCCCTGCCAAGATGACCAGTTCCATGATGATAATGACTGATAGTAGCAGCTTGTTTGTTATTAGTCTGTAATGACAGGAAAGGAAGAGGTTTGACTCCGTATATTCTCAGAAAGAGATTTGGAAATAATTCTAGTGATGTAAAATGTTTCATGAGAGTGTAAGTCTCACCGTCTGGACATTGCACGCAGGATTTTCCTGCTGCGGCTCAGGTTCTCGCCAGTGTGAACCAACTGATGATGGAGTAAGAGAAGGGAAATGGGGGTGTAAGAGCGGAGAAAGAGGAGAAGTAAATTCACTGTAGACATTTCGCTTGTGCAGTTTATCATCTGCTTGTTCAACAACTAGGGCAGTGCAAAAAATCGAATGCGATTTTCATGCGCATCTCGTCAGTAAAGCCGCTCCTGTGATTAGTAGTAAATCTCCAGCACGTGCTTTCAGATGGAGCGCATTTACTACACAGAGCCGTAGTTCACTGACAAGCTACACAAAATCGCGTTCATAATCGGCAATGAATCGCCTGCGATCTTGAACACGATGTTGCGTAGCTTGTCAGTGATCTACGGCTCTGTGCAGTAAATGGCGCTCCATCTGAAAGCACGTGCTGGAGATTTACTATTAATCACAGAACCGGCTTTACTGACGAGATGCGCATGACAATCGCATTCGATTATTTGCACAGCCCTAATTTCTGCTATTCTATTCCCCTATCCGCTGAGGGTTGTACAAATACTGTAGATAGTCCCGCCCCTAAGCCAACATCATTGGTTGAGGCTTTGCA